TGCCTGCTAGCCTGCTTGGCCTGGCCTGCTTGCCGCCCGCTTGCGTACCCATTGGGAAGAGAGTATGCATAGATTCAACGGCAAAGAGAAAGGGAATCAAGGGGCAGAGGTAGTAGGTAGTAAGAGGGTTAAAAAGAATAGTTAACTGGAAGAGAGAACAACTATGGGCGAAAGCAGGCGCGCGAACTGTGTCTGTTCTACAAATTATAATGTTGAATCTAATAAAATCGTAGGATTCTTTTGTTCTTGTTATTATCGTTATAATTGATACATTGTGTCACTATTGTTCGCCAACTAAAATACATTTCTTCGTGATCCATTTAATGGATATATAAATGTTTCATTTATTTCTATTCGCTTAATGAGAAACGGTAAAAAATAATGAGTTCCATACTGTTAGTTGTCACGCTGCGTACGATATGATCATTTTAATGGGAAATAAATTACTGAATTAATTAACGCCATTGAGAATAAAAAATAAATTTCATAAACATATATATGCATGTATACTGTACGCGTACGATCATTACTGGCGCGCTGAATTTGTTTCAAGTGTAACCAGATTTCGATTGTTTAGATTCAGTAATTTATATTTATTCGTTAACGCTATTAACTTGCGACGTTAAGTCTTTCAATCTTCTTTCTAAAAGTTCTGAGTTTAAACGGTGTTTGCAAAGAAATTGACCCTCCAAGAACAGAACTGGAATTTCATACTTGTAGAGTTTAAGAAATCGTTCGTTTCCTGGCATTGTAATATCAACTTCTTGCAAATGATATCGACCAGAATAATTTGTTCGCAATTCGTCTTTTAAAACGTCGCAAAGTGGACACGGCTTTTTCGTGTACAATGTTAATAAGGGTGGAGAAGATATTGGATGACACCTATAGAATGAAAGAGAAAATCTTTATTCTATTAAAGAAGTTTCCATGTTTTTATTTATATGATTTATTTTGTATAAACAGGTAGTATAAAAATATTGTTTGTAAATATAATGGAAAGTAAAATTATATATCTTTTTATGTAAGAAAAAACATCTTGTTCATAATTATACTTTTACGTAAAAATATTTCGTAATAGGTACATAATAATATAAACATTGATCTATATATCACAGTCAATATGATACTTGATCTTTTTCAAAATGCATAATCATGAGTATGTTATTAGTTTAAATCTCTTATGGTACTGTTACACAAAGCACAACTTTGTCCCTTATGTAACTAGTGTAAACAGAGTTCATTGTATTACAAACTTACAGTTTTTTTATTAATATTGAAGAGGCACCACCGCCTCCATTACAAATTGATGCAACACCCTTTTGTCCAGCCTTTAAAGCATGTACTAAATGCCCCACGATACGAGCTCCGGACATGCTACAAATTTTTAAATATGCAAATTTTATGTTATTTGCGCTGAGAAAAAAAATTAAATACATACCCAATAGGATGACCAAGAGATACAGCGCCACCGTGAATGTTTACTTTATTGGGATCAAGATCAAGTAATTTTTGATTAGCAATTGCAACAGCACTGAATGCTTCATTAATTTCCCAAAGTGCTATGTCATCTTTACTGACACCCGCGTTTTCTAATAACTAAACATGAATATAGATGTGATTATTAAAAATTCGTAAATTTTCGTTCGACAATTATGTACACTTTAAGAAATTTACTTTGGAGATTGAAAATGTTGGTGCAATAGGAAAATCAATAGGATCAGTTGCAGCATCCTGGAATGCAACAACTTGTGCTAAAGGTTTGAGATTCATCTTTTGAGCGACCTCGGTAGTAGTTAATACTAATGCAGCTGCACCGTCATTAAGAGTTGATGCATTTCCTGCGGTTACGGTACCGTTGTCTTTCTATAGTAAATAAATAAATATTACTCTAAGGAAGTTAATTAAGTTATAAATAATAATTTAACTTCAATGAGTTGAAATAATTACTGTTTGATTTTAAATTATACCTGGAAAACTGTATTTAATTTTGAAAACTTAGTAAAATCAGCCTTTTTGTACTCCTCATCTTCTGAAAATATAATATCAGGTTTGCCTTTTCTTTGTGGTACATTAACTGGAGTAATTTCGTCCAAAAATATTTTATTTGCATATGCTGCTGCACTGCGTTTATAACTGCTGATGGCATATTCATCTTGTTCTTCACGAGTAATATTTAATTTCTTAGCAGTATTTTCTGCACAATTGCCCATATGAAATTTATTGTAAACATCGGTTAAAGCATCAAGTACGATACCATCCTGTTGAAATATAATAAAAAAAAACTACTACTAAAAGTATTGATGAGAGAAATAAATGATTAAATACATTTTAAAATGCTTGTCACACTTCAAGTTTCATGCCACCATATTTAGTTTCTCCTCTTGCAAGATAAAATGGTACATTGGACATTGATTCCATACCACCAGCAAGAATAATGTCTTGATGTCCACATTGTAATGACTGAGAAGCAAGCATAATACTTTTCATACCACTTGCACAAACTTTATTAACTGTTGTGCATATTGTAGTTTTAGGAAGACCTGTTATATTGATATTGACATTATATACATTAATAATAATAAGAAAGCAAAATGAATAAAAATTTATTTTAAAATTAAAACCTGCAAATAATGCAGCTTGCCTGGCCGGTGCTTGACCTATAGATGCTTGACAAACATTTCCCATATATACTTCTGTTACTTGTTCTTTAGAAAGTCCAGCACGTTCAATTGCTGTCTAATAGATTTTTAATTAGTATTTAATTAATATTCATATATTAAAATATCAATTAATATTTACTTGTATAGCAATAGCTCCAAGTTGCGGTGCACTTATATTTGACAGACTTCCCCGAAATGATCCCATAGGTGTTCTAACTGCACTAACTATAACTACATCATTTAATTTTATTTTAGATGTATAAGATCGTAAATAGATCAGTTGAATCTGAAAAAGACATTTATGTACAACAATGATTCGATAAAATAACCTCTCAGATCTTGATAAATCAAGCTGAAAGATTAATATAACTATACTCATTTATGCTCAATTTTAAATTTCAAACTTCGTAACGAATATCGATTATTTAATAGTTAATTCAATTATTGGTAAACAGTTGAATGCTTATTGACTTACTTTCTTTATGTTCTTTAATATTGCCATTGTACAAAGGAGTTTAATTACACTGGTTGTAATTATTACTTAAAAATAATGTACGAAAACGGATCAAAATAAAATGAATTTATTGATTTAGTTTTCCATTTAATTATCACACATTGGTTCCAACTCATCACAATAACAAAACCGTTACACCTAACTTTAAAACCATGGTTCTTTTGTATTTGTCAGATCTAATAAAATACCTTGTATTAATATCGTATATTTCATTTTTAAAAATTGACGTTGCTTCCATTTTTTACGTTAATAGCTTCTTCAACTTGATTCGTTGTTAATATTCTTATAAAATACGAAATATTGCTAAAAAATTTGAAAATGTGAGCACCCTGTAAAAAGACATTCCTGACATGTTGCGCACGCACAATATAACACATCGAAGTATAAATAAAATAAGTACATGTAACTTTTGCTTTTATTTTTGTCAACAAATGCGTAGTGCTTACGAATAAATAATATCTCGATCTGTCCAACTGTGACAGTAAAACACAATCGTGTGTTAGATAAAAAATATAAAAATGTTATATATTTTAAGCATGTAGAATATTGTTATCATCAAAGTTAATAGTAATTATCAAAATTTTAAAATGAATATTGAAAAAAATAGATTACAAACATTTAGCGATTGGCCGGCAAATGCTCCTATTGATGCTACACAATTAGCAAAAGCAGGATTTTACTATACTGGACATGAAGATGTGGTATTGAATGAAAAAACTTTAATTAACTATAACATACTAACATGTTTGGTACATGTATTATACGTTCATTTTTTAGGTAATATGTGCATATTGTAAGGGTGTTTTAAAGAAGTGGGAACGGGGTGATGATCCAAATGTAGCACATAGAATACATTTCCCGCAATGTGATTTTTATTTACACCAAAATGCAGATGGTATATATTCATTCGTTAAACATTTTTTTTTTATCTAGAACATTTGTTCCATTATAGTTTTTTTGCTTAACAGATGTAACAGCAAGTCTCACAGAATTAGGAATTCAAACACATGCAGGTCCAAAACAACCAGATCATGCAACATATGAAGGACGATTGAGCACTTTCTCTGGTTGGCCTGAAAAACTAAAACAGACACCAGAAATATTGGCCAGTGCAGGATTTTATTATACAGGTAAATATTATATTTAACATTAACATTTTAATACTTAATTTTAATATGTTTAAATAAAAAATAACGAAACTCATTATAGGATTGGGAGATCAAGTTAGATGTTTTCATTGCGATGGTGGCTTACGAGATTGGGAAGTAACAGATGATGTATGGACTGAACATGCAAGGTGGTTTCCTAAATGTGAATTTGTAAATCTCATAAGAGGTCAAAAATTTATTCAGCAATGCATTGCTAATAGACCACCATTAAATCCATCGGTAAATATATAGATACATGCATTTGAGACTTATAACAAATTTTTAATTGTATTCTGTTTCCACAGATTTTCGAAGGTGTACCTGAAGATGAAAGTGCAGATCTAAATGTAACATCCACTGTTTCACTTTGTGCTGCTTCTTCATCTACTCAAGGGATTACAAAAACAGAAGAAGCTGAAACTCTAAGTATAAATTTTAATTAACCAATAATACACGATACATTGTTTGAACACTCATTTTGTAGAGTGTTGATAAAAATATTTTACATTTATTGTTCGCTTTCAGCGATCATGTAAAAAAGCCATATCCAGCGTTAAGACATACAATGACAAGAAAATGACTACACAATAAACTCTACTGCAGTATATTAAATAATAATAGGTTTTATTGTCTGGCTTACAGATTGGGTTCCAGTTAGTACATTGATGCAAAGAAATGATAACGCAGAAGGGTGTAATGATAGTGAAATAACTAGTTCTCAACAAGACTTAACTGAAGATAAAAGTAAAGTAATTTCAGATAAAACGGAGAATTTAAAAACACCTGATAAACATGATAACAGTTTTCAAAAAGCAATTGACGTAAAATTAGAAGAAAATGGCAAGTGATAGCAATGAAACTTGAGTATTATTCAGCCATTCATGCAATGATATCTATCAATATTTTTTATACTTATTTCATATAAACAAGTAATAGTTGTTATATTTTTTAGCATCCTTAGAAGAAGAAAATAGGAGGTTAAAGGAAGCTCGTTTATGTAAAATTTGTATGGATCAAGAAGTGGCTATAGTATTTTTACCATGCGGTCACTTAGCAACTTGCGTATTCTGCGCTGCATCCCTTACATATTGTCAAATTTGTCGACAAGAAATTCTAGCTAATGTTCGTGCATTTTTATCGTAAACTGGACAGTAGTATACAGGATATTAATTAATAGATTATTATGATTATTTAAATTTTGTTATTTAATACGATGTAATGTATAATATAAGAATGTGCATATTTATTTTACAGCTATAACAATTCTTAAAAGAGAAACTAATTTATATATTTAAGAAATTTGATTAATTATACAGATGTTGTATATTGTATATTGTATGTTGTATGTTGTATGTTGTATGTTGTATGTTACATGTTATACCAAATATACTATTTAATTAAATCATCATTAAATATTAAAAATGTTGTAAATATATTGTATTTGTAAATGTATCATATTTAATGGATAAAAGAAAAATTTTCATCCAATGCTTTCACAGTATAACAATAACCATTATCTATTGATAATATTTTTCCTTAAACGTGAATGATGTACGCAATTCGTAAAATTGATAAGATTGAATGTATTGTGTACTCAAAGATAAAGAAAACCATAAACCGTATTCTTAAGCTACAATATTGTGGCACATCATCAGTGCAATTATTGAAAGACTAGAGTTTACTTTAAAGATGCGGAGGTGTTGTTAAGTGTGTATTTCTTGAAAGTAAGTACAAGTTGAATAAATATAAATTATAAGAATTATTTCATTTGAAATTATAACTATTTCTTTGTATAAATACAATAAAATCATATTTCATATTACTATTTTACTATTTCATTTTTATTTAACGTTATGTCGTATAACAAATTTTACGCTATACAAGTAATTTCTACTATTAAATCAATTCTTTCTATGTAAAACAATATAATGATACTATATTCTTGTAACTGACTCATTGTTAAAACACTACATGACTTGGCAACCAGCAATCAAGATCCATTCTAAGAATTACATCTACTAAAGTGATTCGAATATAAATGCAGTCAAATTATGAAATCAAATAATTTAAATTTCTTCGTCATAAAAATATCCATTCGTATAAAATTTAACTACGTGCTGAACCTCACGTGTCGATGATTTAACATGTACGAATTGCTATTACATATTGTAAGACGTACAAGTAACGTGATTTTTATTATTCTACATCATATTTTCCTTTTCTCCTATTAAATTGAAACAATTCAATATCAAATCATATTGCAAATATACGTAAATACATAGTAGATATGTAAGTACTGTGTACATAAAGGTATTCAAAAAATCATTTAAGTGAATATAAGTATGCAAAATCTGAATACAAATACATAAAAGAAACGGTTTCATTGATTTCGTAATGTAATGTACGTATTTCTATATAAAAATTGAGAAAATATAAAAAGTTCTACGAAATTTACGCATCGAACTACAAACGTTGATGAAAACAGAGAGAAAGAGAGAGGAAATGAGAGTGGAAGGGCGGGAAAGAGAGAGAGCGCGATAGTCGTTGCCTGTAAAATGCCTTGATCCGATCGAACCCGAGTGGGGGCTCCACCTCAGGCTGGCTGTGACGAAGAAGCACAGCAAAGTAGAAGCCATTGCTGCTGGCTGTCATTTCTATCGTCATCAAAAATCAAGAAATAAAATAATACATTAAATATAATACATTTGTGAAAGTGCATGTGTATTCATCAGGAGTTTCCAGTTGTTCTTGAAATCGGTATGTTACGCCTATACATGTTTTACTGACTATACGTGTATAATTTTTCCCCTGTCGCTCTTTTCCTTTGGAAGAAAACGGATGGGAATTTATATTAGTTTTGAGAATAATATTGGGCGTAAAAACTATTATTGTCGAATCGGTCACCGATAATATATTTTATAGGAGTTTAAGGAACTGGAAATGACGTGGAAGTTGCACTGTTTAATCGGCTTTCGAATAAAATATAATTCAGATTTATAATGAATTAAAGAAAAAAAGTGATTACAATGGCAGGCTAAACTTTTCCCCGTTATACAAACAATTCACCAGCTCATACTTGTACTGGTTGTATCTAACTTCCGTTGTATGCTTGCCTTGTTGCTCCTCATCACGATGTTGCCAGACTTTCCGAGTTAAACAGATGTGAAAGTTCAGGGAAAAACTGATGATATTATTTCGTAATTTGTTTCTTTACCTTCGCGACTCGATTGATCCTGAAATTGTTTAATATACAAATGAATATTGAGCTTTTGAGCTTGCAGTTCATAGTGCGTTGTATCTTTGTACAAAGGCGGAGTTTCAGCCTGTAAAATGTAGAAAAGTCGTAGGTCGTAGGTGGTTATTCGAATGAAAACGTAATCATACAATCGTGCAGCGTACCACATACGTTTTTTTTTATGGAAACATCATCTGAACTATTTTTCGAAAAGCGTAATTTATTCGTGCTCCTCCTTATCGCGTAGTATCTCAGTAATTCCAGGATTCGCTAGTGTGATTAATTGGTAGCTTCATTTCACATGAACAGACCATTACAAAAGTGTGTGTTCCGGAAGGGGGAAGAAAGGAATTCACTGTAGATTTCCAGCGCAGAGCCGTAGCAAACCGGTTTAGTGCCCTGTGTAAACCGAATTTTTTCGATAGTATATCCGACATTCTTAATGAAACAGAAGTGCTTGAACATTGAACAGCATAATATAATTCGATTATTTACGCAGATAAATGTAGCGAATTTTTAATTGCATAATCTACAAATATTTCTATTCGATCTATTCAATAATGTTTCTAAATTGAACTATTCTATTATTTGTACATGTATTATAGAAATAATTGGAATATTCTTTTAAATATCTGAAATGGTTAATATAAAATTATAATATTAAGAAGTCATAAGCAGCTGCTACGCCCTTGTCGATACATTTCATTCCCATGAGCTCGCAGTGGTGTAATGCAACAAGAAAAGTTAAAATACGGGCCATACAAGCGGCAACGTTGCACAGAGTGGTAAACAGCGACTCTGTATTACAGTTGCCCTTGTGTGTGCGTCTCTATGTGTACCTCTGAGAACTAATCGTCTGAGAGAGACCAAGCCTGTTCTCAGAAGTTCTTGTTTGCGTGTGATATGTAGGTTGCGTTATTTCGACGTTACGAAGTTGTGTGAAAAGTCTACGATACTCCGTCATTCACGAATCATAACGGCATCGTGACCAGCCTAGCAACTCCCACTCACTAGTGTTCTCTCACTCTTGTCCTCTTATCTCTTTCTCGCGCGTAGGATTAATTTTCCATAAATGTGCAGCATAAACGTGCGTCCATCGACATTGCATTTTGTCGTATGTGTAGGTGCCATATGTCACGCAATTTCATCGTGCTGAATTTATTTTTAAATAAATAGGTGGTTTTTTGAATACCTTAGAAGTTATTATCATTGAAAGTCTAGTGATACAAATTGTAACTGTTATAAATAATATTTTTGAATTGCAATGGCAGTTCACTGATAGATTAAAAACAATATTTTTAATAGGTTTTGAAATAGTTGAGGAGAACTGTCCATAATATTACTGTAACTATACTTAAACAAGATGACTGGTATCCTTAAACATCATAGAGAGTTGGGAAGCGAATCAAATATTAAACCTTCGGCAAATACACAATTAACATCGCAGGCTCCTGTAGCACCTCATTTGTTAAGCGATGAAGTGGACAATATCGATTATCGTTTTGAATTAGCCAGACTACAGAGTTTTGAAAATTGGCCTGTGCGATATATTGAACCAGAGAAACTCGCAGCTGCTGGATTTTATTATACCGGAGAAGGTGATAAAGTAAGGTGTTTTGAATGTCATGTTGAAATTTGTCAATGGGTAGAGGGTGACAACCCTATGGTTGATCATCAACGTTGGTCGGGAAGATGCAGATTCATTCGTAAAATCAATTGTGGCAATGTCCCAATCGGAGTAGATCCTAACACAGTTTTACCACCAAGACCAAGGAGTAGAGATGTATGTGGGCCTTATGGGATTGAATATAGACCTACTTCTGGTCCTGACAATCACAATTTATCATCGGAATTACAACTACCAAGTACAGCAAAACTAAGCTGTTTAGGTTTGGGAAGACCTAAAGGACCAGTGCATTCAGAATATGCCAGCCACGATGCTAGGTTACGTACATTTAAAGCATGGCCAAAGTTTATGCCTCAAACAAAAGAGCAGCTAGCAGATGCTGGATTTTATTACACTGGTAAAGGCGATCAAACCCTGTGTTATCATTGTGGAGGGGGTTTGAAAGATTGGGAACCAGAGGATGATCCCTGGGAACAACATGCAAAATGGTTCTCCAAATGTTATTATCTGTTGATGGTGAAAGGTCAAGAGTATGTTAATAAAGTAACAGGTCAACACATATCCCCACCATCTAAAGAGGTATGTATAAAAATTTCAAATTTTATGTACTCTATACAAGCACAGATCAAATTATATAATTATGTTCTTTTGTTTCAGGAAACAATGCAAATGAATCTACCGAGTTTCATTAAGAAAGTTCAACCTGTATCAACGGAAGCAGAAAAGAAAGGGGAAGTAGAAAGTAAACCCGGTCCAAGTTCTCAAGACATTGGTTCTGCGGACAGTGGAATTGAAAGTATCGGAACTAACACAGAATCCGAAAAAGGAAGCATAGAAGATTTATCAAATGCAAAGACGCAAAACAATAAACCCATAGATGATGCAAGGATGTGCAAAATTTGTTATAATGGAGAATTAGGAGTAGTATTTTTACCATGTGGACATATAGTTGCTTGTGTTAAATGTGCTCCTGGCATGACAACTTGTGCAGTATGCAGGGAGCCTGTTACTATGACCGTGCGAGCCTTCTTCTCATAGTATTCCATAGCTTGTGATAAAAAATGACTAATTAAACTAAATGAGAAATTCAACATATGATTTCTGTTATAGTATTTTACAATCGATCGTCTAGCGATAATCAATCGCAAACGATAAACAATCGCACACGAGAAACAATCGCACTCAATGACATGACTCTGTACAGTTCGCCTCTTTTGTACTGAGCCTCGATCTAAGGGCTAAGGGTGCAGGGGGCAATACGAGACGTCCATTTGCGGCGCTCTGCTCGATAGTTATGGCGGCTCAGTTTCGGCACGTTCTTGTTATTGCCCGAGTCGTGCAACACAGAATGCAAGCGAAACGAAATGCGACGAAGTAAGATATACGAACATTGGTGTCGGATTTCATTTCTGCGTTGCGGCGATTCTTTACGTTTACTGAATCGCAGACACACGAAGGCTCGGCTACTATGTTTTCTCGAAGGATAGAAGTGGAACGTGCGGCTGATTCCCATTGCCCCTCTGCTCTGTTAGCCCCTAGATCGAGGCTCAGCACAAAAGAGGCGAACTGTAGCATACCAGTCTGCGGGTACAAGCTAATTTTGTCTGAAACATAATAAGCTGTACCTGCAACTGAATGTTGCTATTTGCACATTCACAAATTTGTGTTGTCCATATCATTGGATTAATTAGAAAGGCAACAGAAAAAATGTGCTTGACACAAATAGTACAAATAGCAACAAATGCAGTCTAGTCATTAGTATTAAATAATGACGAAAATGTGTAGAGATTTACAACTATAAGTTATAGAAATCTAATGGAAGGAATATTCAATTTTAATTTTATTGCAATACTAATAAAATTAACGTCCACTTCGTTCGTTACCCTAGTTTAGTTTCGTCCGATATTGCCGGCTACTATTTTGATTTTATACATTTTGCTACAAGGAATGTGTGGATACTTTGTAATAGAATGTTTTTTTTCAGAATAATTAAGGAAAAGTAATTGCGAACATGCGAATCACAGACTACATACAAATACATAATTATTCGACTTAACTAATCTAGGGTGTTGTAATGTTTATATATTCCACAAAATGGAAAAGTTTAGCGCTTTTATAAGTTAAGAAAATTGGTGATATTACAAAACTGATATGTACATTATGTATACAATGTGATTACAAAACAGGGAAAAGTTATTCGTTTTAATAGATAACAAATTAACAGAAACAATAGATATTTACATTCAATTAGTGAATAATGCTGGAATTTTTCTACCTACTTGCTTTCGGCTATGATTAGCATTATTGTATATTACATAAATGAAAAATGGAATGCATTGACAATTAATTTCCGTCTTTGAAATTTTACTTACACAAAACAGACTGTCCTAAATTAAACGTAGCACAAGTATTTCCTATATTAACATTATTTCACAAGTTTCAAATGAAACAATAAGTTTAAGTTTTTCGTTAGATAATTTGAATAAGAAATATATATATATATATATATGTATATGTATATGTATATATATATGTATATTTCGGCCTTTATTTTGGCCTCGTCAGCGTAGAAATGAACTTTAGCTTACAAATGTTTACATATTCATCCTTCTATTCATCATTCACTTCTTAATTTTATATCTAACTACTTTGTCCCATTTACATCAATGTTCTACCTACTTATGTATCCTTATATAAGCATTCACGCATTTGTATAACTTAACTTAGTTATTCAGCCTCTTTTTTTCATTTTATTTTCCAATTGTTTTAATCATTTTACTTTCTCACAGTATCTGCCTTCCCCTATCCTTACCATTGTCCTTTGATTAAGAAATATTTGGAATCAATTGAAATTCCTAATTTTCTATTTAATTAATTTAACTGGCAAGTCTGTGTAGGTATAAGAAAATTCACATTCAATATGTATTGTGACTGATAGATATTTATCACATATAACATACAATGTAAGAATTATTTGTTGTAGGGTTAAAGGGTTTAGAAGTTAATAAAGTAGGATGTAGTTCATTACAATTTTGCCTTTCCGCTAGTTACTGTATTTGTAAATGACTCGAACATTGCGTTAATTTGTCTGTTGAAAGTGTCCAAATCGTAAAAGCAGAATATAAAGTTCAAGAGAATCATATATTCCTTATGTAATGAATTTTCAATTATAACCGTTGCATTTATTTCTACATAGCGAAATTACTGTTTTAACCTCTAATAGAAATAAACGTTTTGTGGAATAAACAAAGGACCCAAATATTGTTTTCAAAAATAGATAATTGTTTCTTCATTTAAGATTATAACTGCGGTCAACCTGCCAATGTACTACGGCTTCATCAATTCTTATGATTTTTAAATATGTTTTTGGGGACATGGTTTTGAAGAACTTTTTCCTATATATATATGTTGCTTACTCAGCTATCGATTCGTGATCTTTCTAATTTTCTGTTGTTAATGATAAAAGAATTTTTTTCAGTTAAAACATCTCCATCTCACCGAAGTATAATCTTTCTGGTAATTTATAAAACTATATAATTAATAAAAATAATTTCATGTATAAATGTATAAATTATTAGGTGGTATGACGATTTACTGGATAAATCCATGTATAAAAAGATTTATTTTCACGAATCAATGGAAATTATTTTTTATTATACTATATTCGGTAAATGTTATTCCCATCGTTCAAATATTCCCGCCGCATGCATCTGTTCCCAAGTTGTGTAAAACACTCATAGCAGAAATGAAGTATATAGCTAATTCGATTCCTATTAATAAGCTTAATATTTTATATTATCGTTAACATCGAATGCGACAACGAAATGGTACGGGGGTTCCGAGACCCCCGTAGTCCTAGATAAAAATTCTCATAAACTGCAACGTCTGTGAGGATGTTGTATTCCCAGCCTCTATTAAAAGAGATGTCGCTAATGTCAAATGCGACATCACAATGGCGAATCTTGATGATGTTAATGGCGACTGCTAATCCAATACGATGGTACAATAACACAATCGAATGCAAATAGTGTAAACATTTTTACATCAACAAAGATCTTAATCTAACTTTAGTGATTTTTAATGACTTATTGAGATAAATGAACGTCAATAATGGGAGATTTATTCGATATTGCAAATTTAATCACCGCTGTCGGTGTTGACAGAATTAAAATTAAGCCGGAACCTGGACTCCCAGAAAAATCATCAAATGAAATACTGACAGAATTATTTAGTACATTTGATGCTGAAGAAGTGGCATCACCAGAGAATACTGATCAACAAGTTCCAAATGCTAACATCAAAGTTGAAAAATCTAAGAAATCCCAGGTTAAGAAGAAAAAAACAAAGAAGAAACACAAGCATAAGGATAAAAAGCACAAGAAAAAATCAAAATATAATTCTTCTGAAAGCAATAGTGATCCAGAAAATAATAGTAAGATATCCATTGATTACTAAGTATATCTAAATATAGCTTTTGTTGAGTAGTTAAATACTTTTATATTTCTCTATTGAATAGGTATCAAAAAGAAAAAAAAGCACAAAAAGAAGACAAAACGTAAACATGAAAATAATTCAAGTAAATCATCGGACTCAGATGAGCCCAAAAGTAAAATATCGAGGCTTAATAGTTCCTGTGACAACATAAAAGAAAAGAGTAATAACAAAGACAATGGGTTAGAGAAAAAGGATGTGGTCACAGCCACAAATTTTGAAGACAAATTAACAATTAAAAAAGAACCAGGATTAGAAAGTACTTCTTTAAACAGCCCTGAAAGTCCTCAACTTCCACCAATTTCAAAAAAACTTCAGGAAGAAGTTGAGGAACCGCTAATACCAAAAATTTTTGGTTTGTATATTATATAGGATGTATCTAATAGCTGGAACAGTTGTGTATTGATGCAGTTGCAATGGACAATTGCATTTTTTTCCAGAAAAAAAAACTATATTTTTTTCTTTTATATAAATCATTTTTTTTGTAGTGAATTTCACTGCTAGTATGCTAAATTTTTTTTATGTAAACTGATAGAGCTACCTAAAAAATTGGTATTGTAGTATGATAGAGCTTGTCAAATAATGCAAATATAGCCTGTCCTAGTTAATAGATACACTTTGTACATATAAATTTTATATTAAATGTAGTAATTATGAAAAAAACATTAATAAATATTAATCTTGTATCATTTCTTTCCCATGTATAGAGAAGTCAAAGCAAGCAACACAAGGAAGAATATTGATTAAAGATTTAAAGAATAGTGCAGTTTATAATGATACAGTGAAGGAGATAGAAAATAAGGTAAAGGAAAAAGCAGCTCGAATGGAAGATGGTGAACTATCTGATAGTAGCACAGACAATAGAACTCCAACATTGAGTCCTAGTCCAGTACGAAGTAATTCTATGAGATCACCAACATTAAGTCCAAATTTAGAAAAAATAGAAGATAGATTGTTAAGTTCTGTGAAAGGAGGAATAACTGCAAGAAATGATTTGAGATTAATTTTACGAGAAAAAGAAAAGAAAAGACTTGAACATATGGATAAAAGATCAGATGATATAGAAAAATCAAAGTTGTACATGGATAACGAATACAAAGAGAAGGAATGTAATTATAATCACAAAACCACAGCAATTAAAGATAGTAAACGTGGCCATAATTGTTACTCGCATGAAAAAAGACGTTCCGAGTCTCGAACTCGCTCTAGTTCTCACAGGAGTAGGAGTAGAGGCAGAGATAAACGAAGAGATAGAAGTAAAGACAAACATGCCAAGAGTCGGAGTAATGATAGACGGGAATCTATTAAAAGCAGAGAAAAGAGAAGGCACAGAAGCCGTAGTGATGAAAGAAATAGAGATAAATATTCACGCGGCAGAAGTAGGAGCAGAGAAAGGAAGTTAGTATTATTTCTTTATTAGTATGTAAAATTGTATTATATCAATAATGTGTACACACTCTCATATACTTGTACACTTTTAAGAGAGAGGATAGAAATTGATAAGAAGAAACTATTAGAAATTGCAAGAAGGAATGCAATAAACATGATTAAACAAGGAACATTACCATTGGCACAACAGGATAAGGCTATTGCTGCAATACAAGCTGGTGGAAAAACAGTTGATGAACTCACAGGTATTATTATAAATAATATAGGCTTATTATAAATGTAATAATAGAGCTTTTAAAACTTATTTTTTTTGTTTTAGATTTTTGTAAATCATTATCGAAATCAGAAGCATTAGGCGAACTTTCTAGTATCTCGTCAGAAGAGGATGGAAGCGATACCGAAAAAGGTTTTCACCATCCTTTTCTGCTTAAAGGACGTCCTAATTCTATCATTATGAATATTCGGGTAGATGTCAAACATTTCATACATTTTTCCTTACTATTTCAGAGCACATTTCTTCATTCATAAACATTGTATTTCAGGATGCCAAGCAGTTACCAACTAAAACATTCCAAGAGAAAACAGTAGAGTCATCGAATCAACTGCGCTTACAGTTTCCTGTATCAAGTGGACAACATCATAGAAAAACTGGTAAAACCTTTATCATAGTTTAAGTATTGCCGATCTTGATGGAGTACATCATTTTACATAGTTTCTTACATTCCATAGAAAGTGAATGGGTACCAATAACTCCCAAAAAACCGCCAGAGCCAAAGAAGCAATTTATACCGGCTTCCACACCAAGTAAACCTCCTGCTGTGATGCCCATACCAACACCAGTACACCCAGTGCAGTCAACTGTTTTTTCTCAACCCATTCCCACAGAGGTATAAAGCAGAAATTAAATATTTAAGAAATACATTTATATTGAAACTTATATTACATTTACAGCCAATAGATATTGGTTCAATAGTATCTCAAAGATTAGCAGCAATGAGAAAATTAAGAGAAAATCCAAATGATATATGTGCTCAAAATGAAATGTATCGTGCACAAAATGAGGTAATGTATTGTATGATAAATAAAATAAGTTACAGTATATATGTGTACTAGGTTATATACGTTTTCTCCGTGATATTATAGATGAGATCATGGGCTGAAAGTAAACAGATGCCAGGTCAATTTACAGGCAGTACAGGAGCCAAAGTGCTCTCCCCTGCAGAACTTACGTCAGGTTATCAAGCCTGGGCTCGTAAGGTAACAGCATTATTCGCAGTTTAATTATATCTTTGATTGTTCGTCACTCTATATTTATTTTATCACTGAAACTTCTGTCAGTTTTAATTCTTATAAGATATTTACATGTCAGATCACAAAATTATATCTGAAATGTAAATATGTATATATATATATATATATTATTATATATATTAACACACTTGTTTAGTATACATCACAGTTTTCGTTTTCTATTTTTTTCTTTAACAATACGTTGACTGATATTGATATGCCTGTAACAAGTTTTCAGGTACAGTCTCCATTAAGATCAATTCTGTATTGATCTGATAGAAACTGTAATGTAGGCACAGACTATTTCTTAGATAGAGGTAGATTCTGTGCCTGCATGGACACAGGAGCACCGTTATTTGAAACATCTTTTCAACTATATAATCACATTTGATGATAAATATGATAAACTTTATAAACGACAAATGTAAAGTACATTGTTGGTAACAGTCATTATACACAATATAATGTGCTCTTGTGAGATTATTGCTAATTATCATCAGCTTCCTATCATAGGACTTCATCGGGTGTTTCTGTATCTTTCTGTCATAAAGCTGGGATATTTAGCATTAGTCTGCATCCACCTGAGGGTTTGTTACAGGCACGTAGCTACATCAGAGAAGAAACAACTTCAGCGGCGTGATGACAAATTTATAATTTATTTGGTAAGTATCCTCACCCAGATAGTATTAGAGTTTTATACAATCTGTTACTACATTGTAATATCATGATTGGGCAAAGATTATTTTACTACTTTTTGTTACATACTATTGTCATTTTTAAATATTGATTTCATTGATACTGCAACATTCATTATGTCCTAATCTAAAAAACTATTTAGGATCAATTAGTATCGGCACAACCTGTTTCGGGTGGGATGGGTATGGCTTTACTGCAGAAGATGGGTTGGCGGCCAGGGGAGGGTTTGGGAAAAAATAAAGAAGGCACTCTTGAGCCATTGCAGCTTGAAGTAAAACTGGATAAAAGAGGACTTGTTTCTGAACAAGACATTGGACAAAAAATAGGAAAAACTGCTAAACCATTAGTACCTGCAATCAAAACATTGGAAGGTATATTGTAGTTAAATTTCCTTAACACTATAACCCATATAGGCATGATATATATGAAGTATTATATTATAGGGAAACATCCAGTATCACTTTTAGGTGAATACTGTTCAAAACGAAAACTTGGCGCTCCAGTGTATGAACTATGTTTCGAATGTGGACCAGATCATAGAAAGAACTTTCTTTTTAAAGTATGTTAATACTTTATAATATGTACTGCTTCATATAATACTTATGTACACACTATTTACATTTAATATTGTGTTCTAGGTTAAAGTAAATGGAATTGAATATAAACCAAGCGTAGCAAGTCCTAATAAAAAACAGGCAAAAGCAGAAGCAGCACAAATATGTTTACAAACATTAGGATTATTACCAGAACCGAATCCTGTATCTGCTTCAGAAACTTGAAGTTATCATTGTAATATCATTATTATATTGGTTGCTTATATGTATTGACATATGTGATTCCATACTTAATTTACACTTTCAATACCTTCATTTCTATACATATTGAGTATGTATATGAATTTTTAAACTGCAAGTGTTACTTTTAACTGAACTTTTAAGAAGTGATTTCTCTAAGAGTAGAACTGCATTGTCCAACAATGTGTACCTATGTATAAGGTTTGTAAACTTAAAGACATAATCAATCCATTTTAATGTTACTATGTATATAAATAATTTGTATGTTTAATATTACAATGCATTTAATTCTCACTTGTAAAATAAAAATATATGCATATAGTGTAAATAAAACTAAATTATAGCAGTCTTGTTTTAAACATTTCTTCCCTGTATAAGTGTTGTAGTATTTGTATACCTTTGTAAAAGCTATTATGGTAAAAATAAATGTATAATGTATTTGCCAGGAAAAATTCATCAATTGAAGAAATCTGATTAATCATTTAAATGTGTAAGATTATTTTTTTTGTTTTGATTGCAGGAATTATTAATTACTTTTTCAGTCTCATGAAGTCAATAATTCTTACAAGCATAGTCTATTTTTATAAGTTGTAAATTTGTATAAAAAATATGAAGATAAATTGGTGAACAAAATATAGAATTACTTATTGATAGTAGTATATAGTACTTTGCTCCCAAATTTACGTTTAAGTAGGGCTAAAGAAATAAAGATTTATAACTTTTAAAGATTTTGTTTAATTGAAAATGAGATAACAAATTGATAAAACTTTCATTAGGGTTTATGTTTTATTTCATTTGATATGTTCATATAAGGTACCACTTACATTATATACGCAAAACCTCCATGGTATATTTATTTGGTTAGGGTATTTTCAAAATAGGTATACAAAACTATAATATAAATATTAGTTTCATCTAATTTTTTGCTACGTTTATGTACAATTTTGTACAAACAACATTATAAGTTTCATTATTACGATGATTATAGAAAAAAATTTGCCGCAAGCGACAACATTCGAATACCATGCTGTTGACAGGCCGGCTATTTAATTTGTACTATAATGGACGATATAGAAGCACCAATTTTTTACGACGATGAGGGGGATTTTGTTGGACATAAATACTTCCAAGACTCAGATTATGAATACGAGTATGAGGAAAATACTGAAAGAGGAACATTGTTGGAACTGTATCAATATTGTCTCAACCCTACTGTTTATGATACAGCTTTGTATATACTACCGCTTCTTATTTCCATGATTTTATTTCGATTATGCGCTCGTTCTCGTAAGACATAATTTTTTATATAGCATGGAAGCGTTTAAATGAAGTAGAAAATGGAATAATTTTTATTATTAATACCTTCCTTTAATATTGCAGAATTTGTATCACATAAAATTTTTCATACATTGTCAGTGTTGATTGGCATATACAATATTCATCACTATGTAACAGAATGTCTATATACATTATTGATACTTTGTATATTTTCATATATTACTTTACATCTACCCAAAAAATATTGTAAAAGTTTAGGAATATTTTTACCATCTCTTCTTATTATTGTATATTGGTAAGTTAGTAAAGTGTAAGTAGAAAAAAAATGTTCTCTTCAAAGTTTAAATATTGTACAGTTTTTGTTTTTGATTTTCAGTGAATTTTCTATGTCTCCATTAGTTTGGCATAAAATACGTAGCGTGGTAATGATTATGGCAATGAAAACCATTAGTGTGGCCGTAGACAAAGTTGATTCAAATGATTTACCCGATATTTATAGTTACATGGGATATACTTTCTGTGGTGTCACATGTGTTTTTGGTCCATGGATATCATTCAAAGATTATATATCAGTGCGATATATAAATAATCAGGTATGAAATACTTCTCTTAATCATACCGATTGTTCTTTCATAAATGTATAAATGAAAATGAATAGTAATAATTTTAAATCATAGGATAAATGGTGGATACTGTATGCTGCTCAATTTATGGTTTTATCATTTTTGTTTTTAACTATGTCAAATTGCTGGACACAATGGATAATAATGGACAATTCTTGGAAGTAAGTAAATACTGCTGTAAAGGTAAATCTGTATTTTATAGTAAGATTGGTACTAAATTTATTATTATAATTATTTATTTCAGATGGTTATTGGCCTACAGAGATGCATTGTCTTTCAGAACATCTCATTACTTTATTTCATATATTGCATCTACTGCATTATTAATAGGTGGATTTCCATGTGCCCTGACTACCTTGGTAAAACCATTAAAAGTAGAATTTCCACGATCACTAGTACAAGTAGTTATTTGTTGGAATATACCTATGCATTTCTGGTTGAAGACATGTATGTAAATACATGTGATGCTATTAAGGCACATTTATATCTTCGTCAGTAAAATTTAGGATATTATATAATAAATTGTTGATATAAATTTTTAGATATATTCCGTCCCAGTATTAAGTACTTAGGAAAATTTGGAGCTGTAACCATGACATACTTAATAAGTGCTCTTCTACATGGATTAAATTTTCAATTGGCAGCAGTTTTACTTAGTCTTGGATTTTATACATATGTAGAGTTCCAGCTTAGATCTATGCTAGCAAATATTTTTGATGCATGTATTGCATCCAAACAATGTACTAAGGGTAAATGTACACATACATGTAATACTCAAAATTCTTGGTGGGTCCTTTTAACAAATATGATGTTTTCTGGGCTATCAGTTTTTCATTTAGCTTATTTAGGTCTTATGTTTGATACATCTGAATTACAAGAGACAGGGTACAGTTACATTCACACTATTGAAAAATGGTCACAACTTGGATTTGCTAGCCATTGGGTCATGTTTGCTACATATCTTATATACTTTTTAATTAGATAATATTAGATCAGTATTTTAAACTTCTTTATCTTTAAACTATTTCCTGACGGCTAATAATGCTAAATGAACAATTTACTAGAAGTATTTTAAATTATTTAAACAAAACTTTAATATAGACTTCCAATTTTACATTACTGTACAAATATTTAAGAATTTTGATAAGTTTTTATAATATATTTGCTATGAAAATAAAGACAGAAGAAAAACAGAAATATTATGTATTATGCTATTATTAAACAATTTTAAGCAAGAAAAACAATGCACATAATTCTGGAAGTAAGTAAAATACATAATTTTTATTAGATATACAACATAATATAAAGTTGTTATTGCATGTGTGTAAAAAGCAAAGTACAATCGAGTAGTATTTAATTGCTATAAGAAGTCTCATGTATCATAGTTGTTAAATAATACTTCATTGATATTTAATGACAATAAACTAATATTTTCTAAGTTTTAATACAATCGTATCAATGAATAAAAATATTTTTTCAATAAAAATCAATACATTTTGAGAGCACTAGAAAATACTATGTTTGTCGAAATATAACATAGTATATGTTCTATATTAAATTAAGAAAATAGAAAGTAAAGAAATTTTATATTGACCACTTATATGTTTCTTTATAAAATATATGAAAAAATGTTTTCGAAATTTTATTGCATATTTTAAGGCAAAATCGTAAATGTTGCATGATTTTTACATAATTTCATCTACAAACCAGATGGCCACCAACTGAAACTATTTTGTGAATATATCCAGCTTCACAAATATAAAATTTCTGTAATATATGTTACTAGACTCAAATTATTAATGTTTATAATACATCTTTTTTAACAATATTCAACATTGAGTATGTCATATTTAAAAATTTAAATCGAATTTCTATGTACAATTACAAATGTTGCACAATATTTACTACTTTCAATTATAAATTAGATTCCAGAACAACCAGTTCACAACTTATTTCATGATTCTATATCAATTTACTCCACTACTATATTCCTTTGAATTAAAAGCTGTACTTTCTCCACAATTTCAGACATTTGGACCTACTGTACAACAATATATCATTTTATATTATTAAAATATCTTTGTCCTTAAATATTAATGACACTTCTTTTTATAAAATGCATTAATTTCTTAAAATATTATTTAACTTTTACGTAATCTTACATAATTGTCCTAATATTTGTGTATAATTGTATAAATGTACCACGTATATACATAGACTG